ATAGAGGCACCAATTTCCACAGAGCCTGCAAGGAGCTCCAGGTTCCTTCAAACATTGACAGCGTCCGTGTGGAGAGACATGAGGCTCTCACAACTCTTTTGGCAGAAGTAGCGGCCATCATGAACACAAGACCCTTGGGTCCAATATCCACCGATCCTCCAGATCCATTGGTGCTGACCCCTGCTACCCTACTCACACAGAAGAAAGGTACCTTCTCAACTCCTCCGGGGGATTTCACCCCCAAAGACCTGTACAAGCGTCACTGGCGTCAGGTTCAATTCCTTGCAGATGCCTTTTGGAGCAAATGGAGGAAGCAGTACCTCTCAACTTCGCAGACAAGGAGTAAGTGGCACAGAAGCAAGCCAAACATTGATGTTGGAACTATTTTTCTTGTGAAAGACTCAAGCAAAGAGGCAATGCCATTGGCATTGGTCACCAAGGCATCCCCGAGCATAGATGAAAAAGGTCCACATCGTAGAGGTCAAGATCACCAGAGAAGATGGTGCTAAGCCTTTCCTCAGACCTATTACAGACTTAGTCCTTCTTCTCTCCGAGGAAGACTAAAAGAGCAAGTAGTGACATTCAAACATTGATATTTAGAAGCCAAGTTAATGGGTGTTATCAATAGATACCAGGCAGGGAGTGTTCTGTCCTCATCAGGACATTGTTGTTCATTTGTCTCCCCCTGCCGGCGGTAGTCGTAATGTGTAAAATATGTACCATGTGACCTAGTGCATAAGGAAGCTGCATGTGAACAGGACAGCCACATGTTTTTTTTGTGACCACAATCTGCCTAATCCTTGACGTTCCATGCCTTTGGTCGCATTATTGGTATGTACAATTGATATAAACGTAGTGTTCTTTCATTTACAATGAATATGTTTATAGAGAATAGTTTTGAGATGATAGTTAATGTGTGTTGTAAATTCCTCTATGGAACTACCGTTAGCCACAGCCATAATTTTGTTAGAGGATTTTTTAAGGAGATATGTGTAGCGCGCTACAACCGGTTTAAATGGCCATAGGAATTAAGTTGTGTGCACACATAGGGGGCGTAATTCCAATGCATTGGTTGTGAAAGGGATGAACAATAAGCGCTTGTATTGTACTGATTGATTTGCAGTGTCGGGAGTAACGCTGTAACGCCGTTATTTCTGGCAGTAATTAGTACTCTAACGCATTACTTTTTAAATTCAGTAACTCAGTTACCGTTACTACATGGTGCGTTACTCCGTTACTCCGTTAGTTTTTTTATATAGTCAACAGCCAGGCGAACAGAGATGAGAACTGTACTTAAGTACTTGAGTAAATGTACTTTGATACTTCCTGTGTCACATGCGGAGACGGGCTGTGGGCGTGTTTGTGTTGTTTACTAACAAGACTATCATGGCGGCGGCGGAGCTCAAGTCTAGTTTCTCCACCTGGAGATATTCTCACTATTTCACTTTTGTCGAGCACAAAGAAAAGAACGTTTTAGTTAAATGTAAGTTGTGTCCTGGCGGGTCAAAGATCCTATCTACTGCCCAAACCAGTCATTCAAATCTCTTAAAACATCTGCAAAAACAACATGCTGGGACGAAGCTAGTAGCTAAGACCACAGAGACTCAGCCGACGCCACTCCACCTCCACCTAAGCAACAGCGGCTGGATTTTAACTGAGGGACTGCTAGCCAGGGAAAAGTGGATAAAGCCATTGCACGGTATGTTGTAGAACACATGCAGGCTATTGCTACAGTGGAGTCACCCGCTTTCAGGGAGCTAGTTAGCATGATAGCATGTCCGGGCGGCACACGGCATATGGGATGGAAAACTTTTTCCAACTACCTGGAGAAAGAATATACAAAAATGGAAAGCCAGCTAATATCGATGCAATCCAGATTGCATATAATGTATGTCAAGTTGATCAACAGATTGTATTATTCTCCAATGCTATGACAGTACTGAAATGAAGGCTATAAGGGCATTAATGGGAGCCCTTTTTTCAAGTAACGAAAACGTTACTTTTCACAGTAACGCATTACTTTTGGGTGTAAGTAACTAGTACAGTAACTGAGTTACTTTTGACATGAAGTAACTAGTAATAGTAACTAGCACAACACTGTTGATTTGTGACAATCCGTTTGACTTTAAGACATTCAAATATGGAGGAGCGCGCTGCGGACATGCCAGCAGCTGACAGCGCGTCAGATTACACGCTGCCAGCAGCTGGCAAGCTGGATAGCGTGGCCAGCTGTAGTGATGCGCAAAGCAGGGTAGTTAAACTCTCTGCCAAAGCACTTGCGGATAAACTTGAGAGGTTGCAAAATGGCAGAAAGGCTAAGCTAAATAAAGCTAGCAAATTAAGAACAAATATAAAATATTTTATGTTAAATGGTGAACATGCTATGGTTCAAAATGCTCTTGATGAAGCCATATCTAGGAGCTTATATTATTTAATAGTTATCCATTTATTTTATTGTTCTTTTTTGTTTATAGTAAATATTCCTTTTAATTCTTATTTAAGTTGATCAAATAAGTTGTACCATGCCTCTGTTTTGTAAAGACAGCCTTTGGGCACCGGGGGAGGGGAGACCGGCTCATTATAAATATGGGAAACAGGTGGTAGTGAGCGGCGCACCCGGTAGGCTTATGGTTTTTTACCATCGGGTAGGAAGGAAGAGAAATGCTTGATGTGTTGATAATAAATTGCACTGAAACGACTTTTGCTCGGACCTTGATTTTGACCCATGCGTAAGATTCGCTGACGGGTGCCTCGGCGGCACTTTGCGTTATATTTCTTTCTTATATTTTTATGATTTTGGCCGCTATAGCTCTTGATGGTTATATTGAATTGTGTGTTGAAGCCAGGTCTATGCATGACACTTTAATGAGTTTATTGCCACATGATGAAAGGGAAAGACATGAAACATGGTTTAAAGCCAAAATGATGTTCAATGATGAATTTATTGTCCAAATCAAGTTGTGGGTTTGTGAAACTGAAGGTACTGGTGATAATAATGATGATATAAATCCTGATGACAGTGTTTCTAATGTTTGTAAATGTTCAAACAAAAGTGACAGCAGTACAAAGTCAAGTACAACTTCATCTGCACAAATTATAGCAGCAGCAGAAAGGGCTGCAATTGTTGCTCGCATGGCAGGTTTAACTGAGAGGCATGCACTGGAGGAACAAGAGCTACAACTAGAGAATGCAATTCCTGAAGAAATTGCTAGTGGGAATGCTGTATGCTGAAATATAATGTGTAAGAAGAAAGTGAATAATCAGGAATATTTGGATGACTGAATGGTTTCCATATGAATGAATATTATGTTAAAAAGTAGCATGAAACTCCAAATGTATAAATAATGTTAAAGATTTAAGGCTTTGAAGGTAGAATGTTATTCGTAGGAAAAGTTGAAAATGCAAAAATAACTGGTGAAATAGTAACATTTGGAACATTTTATTTTCATAAACCAGAACAAGGGGGAAAAAACTATATAAAACGTTTCAAATCAATTACTAACAAATTGTATTCAGTAAAAATACGAATGAAAATCTGTCAAACAATACATGAAAAAAACTATATAAAACTGTTTGAATCAATTACTAACAAATATATTCTGTAAAACCACAAAGTGAAATGGTGAAGAAAAATAAAGTAATTTGTGTGAAAGAACAAGTGATAAAACAACTATATACAGAAACTATTGATACAAATGTTGTAATAAATGTAAAGAAATCACTCAAGTGAATAAGTTAATATATAGAAACATTTCACATCAATTACTAAAGAAAATAACAATCTGAAGAACAAAAAATCTAAAATACAGAAACTATTCATATCAATTAAATAAATCAAACAAGAAGTGAAGAGAAAAAAAACATTTCATATTAATAAAATAATAGCAGTCAAACCAGAACAAGACAAAAGCAAGCATAAAACAAACAGTTTTACTATGCATTTCATGCACGTCACATATGTATATTTTAAATTGGACTATTAAAATCTCACTCTAAATGTCATGAAATAATAGTATGGTTAAATGCTCAAAACAACCAACAACTGCCATTTATATGTCTGCCCCATTAAGTGTCCATATATAGAAACGTTTCATATCCACTCAGCCTTCGACCCTCTAAGTATATCAGGAAAAACCTTATTACGGACAAAGGGAGAAACCTTTAGGTAGGCCAAGTCTTAGAGGGATCCCCTACCAGGACGGCTGAGCATCAAGTGTTTGTGAAGGTTCGGGTTAAGAACATGTGCCTGCGTCAGGACTGATTGCTGCTGTTGCAGCCGCAGTGTAGAGATGAAGTCTTCTGGGTGTTGAGGACTCTCTCCAATCAGAAGTTGCTGTAAACAAGATGATAAATATCATACAGCAACAAAATGTTGGAAAACAATATTGATATGGTTGCCGTAACACACACAGACATCAACTTATGAGAGAAGTGGAAAATATGCTACAAGGTATAAAAAACCTTGAACACAGTTTCCAGGTTATAAAACAACATTAAATCTACTCATAGTATCTGATGCAAATTGGTTGCTTACATTTTATTAGATGAAGATGAAGGATTGAAGGCTCCTGAAAGAATCCTGAGCTGCACTGCCTCTGATGACTCTGGTCTTGGGTCCATGTGGTTCTGGTTCTGTGGTGCATGGAGAGAACACTGTAACACCAATGATGCAAATGGGCAATACATACAATCCACAATGGCTTGTTGTCTGAAAAAGCTGTAGCACTAAAGTGGAATGATCTTATAATGTGGGATAAAAAGGCTTTGTTTAATTGGGTATTTAGCCAAAATCACTTGTTGATAGGAATATGTGAGGTTTCTAGCTTGAAACATTTATATATAAATGGAAAACATTACATAAACCATTGATACAGACTTTCAAGATGTACTATATGACTCAAAGTAAATTGAAGACTTGAAAAGATTAAATAAAACAAACATTGGCACCAGGCACAGGTCCAGATCATTTAAAGGTGAAACAGGGGCCTCTTTGGGTGTCCGTGTCCCTTCCACATGGATCAACACCGTCACAAACCAGGTCCAGAGATGTGTACGGAGTAGTCCTCGAGTCCCCTCTCAGTCCTCGAGTCCCCTTCATAGAAGGCTGCACAAACATGAAGACGGTCTTTTTTTCCCCCTAAAAAAACAAGTGTTCAGAGAAATAAAAAAAACCTCAATCATTACCATGTGTTTACAGTTTGTTAGTTTACTTCTGCAAATTGTAATGTTATTATTTAAAGACTTTTGGGGCATGTCATGCCTTTATTAAATGTAGGCAGAGAGAGACAGGAAAGGTGGGGAAACAGAATAGTGGAATGACATGCAGGAATTATGGAAAAACAGAGGATGAGAAATAGATCCTTTAAGACTTGAAAATCATCAGTGCCACAGATGATTTGAAGTATGCACACACCGTAAATGGTATACTTAGCACCTGCTTGGATCCAGCAACATAGTTTTGCGCCGCAGCTTGTGTTGTTGCTCAGGCGTGGCTCTGTCAGCATTGCTCTGCTTCTTCACCCCTTTTAATATAAATGGAAAGCATTAAATTAACCATTGATACAGACTGTCAAGATATACTGTCACTGAAAGTAAGTTGAAGAATTTGAAGGGTTAAAGAAAACAAACATTGGAACATACCAGGCACAGGTCCTGGCGGTGAAAGACAACACTAAAGTCAATAGGTGGGAGTTCAATGGAGAGGGTGCCACGCCCACAGAGGTTTATAAAAACCGAACAGCTGCGGTCACAGAAGGGCAGAATTACATTTTACACGTGTGTTTTTGTCCAAGTGTGTTTGAAGCAAAGGCCATTATGATATACTTCTTTAGGTCAGATGTTTATAGTGATTTGTTTTAATACAATGAATATGTGTTTTATATTCTTAACTGCTGAAGGTCTTCCCAAATCCAAAAAAAGGTGTAGAATAACATGTATTTTGATATGAAAACTTGTCAAAGGGCAAAACATTTGCTGTGGTTTCAGACCTTGAATACAAAAATCAAGAACATTAGCTAATAATAATGTTTTAACCCCGATTGTAAACCCAACGAGAACTTACTTAAATTAGTCTGGAAACTGAGGAGCACATTTTCTTCATCTTTTAAAACAGTTAACCACAGTCTAGTGATGTGCTCTTGTTCATTTCAGATTGTCTTTACTCACCAATCAAGCGCAGATTCTTTGTGTTCTTCTTGTCTATAAGAGGAAGCAAGATGTTAGTCTTACATATTTTTATTTCTGTAATGATGTGTTGAACAGTAGATACAACTCCCTGTATTTAGCCTTAACTGTCAATAATGTACACAAGCTATTTAATATGTAATACTGCACACTTGAGCCAAATGTGTTAATCAATAATACAACTATTAATCATGTAACAGTTTTCATTAACCAGTTAAGCCCGAAGGTCCCCCCAGTGGACCCCTCCCAGTTTTTTTTTTCTCACATGTCTCAGGGCTTCTTAACATTTATGAAACTATTAATGTTTCATACCCTTTTAAAAGGTAAGAAACTCCGCTAACTGACAATAAGAACAATTGTTAGCTAAAAAAAACACGAGTAATACCAAGCCTTTGAATTAGCATTGAGCGAAACAATGCTAACTAATGCTAACGCTTTTTTACACACAACTCACGGTAGAAATGCCCTTATCACTATCTTAACTGCACAAACAAGATATACGATTTAAAGCTGAGACTCCACAGATTCCACACATGTAATGTCATCACTGTAAGACCTCGAATTCCTGGAGCTATCAGCCAGAAAAGAGAAAGTAAACAACATCCAGTTCCAAAAATATTACAATAATTACGTCTTACCTTTTTTGATTTGTGATCAAAAGTTGTGTTCAACGGAATAAAAACGCATCTCAAGGTTAATCCAATGTCGTTGTGTCACGTAGAATTTTTTACTGATAATCCATCATCATATTTATGGCAATATACTCGGTATAAAGTATTGCCGTCCAGGCTTGCACTTTCAGATATGCTTCGTTTGCTTCTCTATTACGTCCGCTATGGTCATGTTTACGTAGATTTGGGAACTGCCCATCGATTCTATTGGTTCTGATGGTTAAGAAAAAGGTGTAAATCACACGAATCGACCAATGGGTTCCAGAGATATGGTCCTGCGTAAAGTATAAAGAATGCCAGCCATCGTGCCAACATTACGCAGGAGACTTCATTTATTGTTTACAGCGTAACGAAGCAGGTATTGCAGCAGGACCCAGAGCGCACAGAGCGGACAGCAGATAACGGAATTGCAGTTTTATTGCTTATAGATTATCAGAACATTTCAAAGGGGACACAGCCCCATTGGATATTAATCTATGGATTAACTACATCGTTTTTATCGTTTTAATGCCATTGAAGACCAGTTTAGACCAGACAACGAGGAAGGTAAGTCATTGTTAGCCTAGCGCATTAGCGCTAGCGCCATTTGTTTTGATGTACGTTTTTGTTGATAACGTCGCGAGTTTGTATCTTTCAGTGTTGGGCTGTTCAGGTGGGCACCGTTAGATTCTGTGTCTCCTTGCGATCATAAACAATGTGTTGGATGTGCAGCTAGGATAAGTAATAAGGGAGCGAGGAGTGATTTTCGGTGCTGTAATAGGTTAGCATTTTTCGCTCGGGGCTAATTCAGAGGCTCACTGTAAGAGTAAGCATATGTTTTATTTTATTTATTTTTTTCACAACAGTTGTTTTTGGATGGAATGAATACCTATAGTGATAATTCAAAGTAATACAATGATTTTTACAGTGAAAAAGTTCAAATGGAACCGATGGTTCCCAAATTACCCAGAGGTGAGTCCGCTTAGACTTTATTTTTCTAAATCTCTCTAAAAAGGTCAAATTTCACTTGTTTTGCATCAATCTTGATACAGGGTACTTATATGTTATAGTTTGGATTCCTAAAGCTTTTAGTCTACTAACCCATCATGCAAGGGTGGTTTTCACGATAAGTAAAGTTTTTTTTTTAGGTGGACATTAGAATTTACATGTTTTTACTATGTTCCATCTGAATTTACTTTAAAATAAAAACATCTATATTGATTCTGACACTTCTACATCCAACTCACAGATGTAACCTTGCTTTGAGAAAAATAATTATTAATTTACCCCTTTTAGAAGTGAAGATATATCATTTGTTGTGTTAGTGGCATTTTCGAGCCTGAAACCTGAAAAACAGGCTCAGGGCTTAACTGGTTAAGCTTTTATCTGTCAAGAAAAGCTAAATTAATTGCAAATACAAAATGTACCCTTATCTAGTTTATTGCTGGCTAGCAGCTGCAACAGTACTTGTGCAGTACAATGAACTTGCAGAGACTGTAAGAGTTAAATAGGTGATGCAAGTACACTATTAACCTTTGAATTGTAGTGGGGTACAAGAACAAAGTAGCAACTTATTTAAATAAGGTAAAAGTCACTCAATGTTGTACTTAAGTACAGTGCATGATTACATATAGTGAATTACTTAACATCACTGCTTGTTCGTAGCTGTTAATACAGGTCCCAAAGATTCATTTAGCATATTTAGAAAGTATGCAAAAATACACAACAGTGGCAACAGATAACCCACAAGTACCACTACACCACAAGCACTGCAGCACAAGAGTTACATGTTTAATTAAAGGCTGAAGTTAGCATTAATAACTGGCTGTTAGCATCCTTTGGTAACTAAACAGGAGTAGTCTAACAGCTAACTGCAGTTAGCTGCTATAAACAACATGACAAGCTTGGCAATTTAGCGCAACTCAAACGGTGTGTTATACTTTGAAAAAGAGTTCATTTGACACTTTAGGGAGACTGTTTAGGGAGAGATGAACTTAGCTAGCAGCCTAGCAGCGTTAGCCCGTTAGCGCAATGCTAACGGTCTAACCTATGGGGCTAACCCCCAAAACACACCAGGAGCGTCTGCGTCGCGTTACGGCCGCGCCGCGGCGGTCGTAAGGATCGCGGCCACTCTAGTCAATGGGTGCTATTACACCACACGCGCCGCGTTACGGCTCAGACGCGTCCCAGAAGCGGCTCGGCGCAGCGCTTCTCTAAAATTAGGATGAATCCTATTTTTGCAGCAGCGCAGCCGTAAGGTAAACTCCTCCCCCCATCCCCCCGTAGTCTTTCAAGTAGGAGAATACATGCCAGCGTTCTCCTCCGGTTTACAGGCACTGTAAATGATATATATATATAGAATAATTATGATGATGAATGCATATTTTTTTACCACTAAAATACAGCAACACATCTTTGATTCATGTCGTTTATAACTGGAATATTACAATTATTATTAACTGTGTCTGTAGTCTACAACATAACAAAATAGGAAATAACAACAATAAACACGATTTAAACAGACACAAACATAAACCATTTAACTACGTATAGCCTACTTACTTGTAGAAGTACAAATGTCCAGGAAATATTCCAAAATCAACAACAACTGCGAGGCTGCACACACGACGCTCCGCTTCCGCAACGTTTTGAAACGCGTCTGGTGTGTGTTGACGCAGGAGGAGGTCGCAGCGTGGCGCAGCCGCAACGTAACGCGGCGCAGACGCTCCTGGTGTGTTTTGGGGGTAACGCAACGATGCTAGCTGTTAGCCCGTTAGCACAATGCTAACGGGCTAAAACTGGATACGCTGCTAAACTGTATCCTTTAATGTGTAAATTAATATCAGTTGTCACGCCAGTAAACAGTCTATGAACAAACTCAAACGGTGTGTTATACTTTTAAAAAGAGTTCATTTGACACTTTAAACTGAAACGTACCTAGCAGAAGTCAGAAGTCAGAGCAGAATAAATCTCCCGGGCTTGGTGTGACCAAGCGGCAAACTCTGGGGAACAGCCGGTGTCAGTACCAGATATGTTCGGGCTACCAGATATGTTCGGGTGTATTTCCGTCGCATCCGTCATCCGTCATATTCGTCATATTTTACGGCAACTCAAGAGGGCCATCACGGTCAAATTCCGAACATTTAAACATAGCCGACACTTCATTCTTTACTTTGTCCGTTATTATATGTAGAAGATTATACTTTTTCTCCGTCATGGTGTTTCCTTAGCAACAACTTCAAACAGGCATAGCCTACACTTCATTCTTTACTTTGTCCGTTAGTATATGTAGAAGATATTAATTTGTTCTCCGTCATGTTGTTTCCATAGCAACAACTTCAAACAATAACAACTAACCGCTAGCCGCAAAGCTAGCATCACAGCCACTGCTCCGTTTTCGGAGACTTTGCACACGTTTTTCAGAAACATTTTCACACGCTAGGAGTACTTCCAATAGCTTCGTCTTGATCTGTAGATGTGATTTGATGTGTCGTGTGTCCCCCAACTCCTCTCCAAAGTTCAGATATTTAATAAAATACTCAGGGGAGTTTCCTGAATATTCATGCCCAAAGCCAAGCACTAGGCACTGGGTAAATTAAGAGGCTGATCTCGGGCACTTTTGTCCACTTTCCCTGGTGGCCGAAACTCAAGCCAGACATCCATGGAATCGTCTCAGAGAGTAGATGATCAGTGGGGCCTTGTTTTTACTGAATGATGTGTTTTTTTATGGGGAATTCAAATATGAGCTTATTTTTAGGATTTTCGGAGACTTTGCACACGTTTTCACAAACATTTTCACGCTAGGAGTATGGGAGTACATCCATTCGCTTCGCCTTGATCTGTAGATGTGATTTGATGTGTCGTGTGTCTCCCAACTCCTTTCCAAAGTTCAGATACTATATACAAATACTAAAAGGTAAATAAAACATTAAACATAATGACAAAATAACAACCTGAAATATATGTATTCTATCTACACATTTCGTAATTATCTAATCTAGTGGCCTTATAAAAGTGTTGGCTAAAGTAACGCAGAATATATATATATTTTAATTGTAAATAATTAGAAACATTATTTATGTGCACAAGTACATGGGACCCCACCATAGCACCCCACACATAACAAGCTGTCCCGAGTTCCTCCG